AGCTTTCCGTGTCTTGAGCGCGAGTCCCAAAATTCAAGTGGTCAGGTGACGTCTTGATTGTCTTTCCCGTTTAGGGGGACCGTTTTTGAAAATGGAACTGGGAGTGTGAGTCGCTGGGTTTGAGCGACCATTACACGTGGAAAACTAAAATAAAACATTTAAAAAATGCTGCATGAGAAAAACAAAACAAAAACAAAGATCTTTGCTGTTATTGTACTTTGCATTGTGTTGCATTGAATTGAAACAATATTTGTTTGGTGACTTACTTTTTCCACGGTTTCTATTATTTTACATTCATTTCATGATATTATTCTTCATGAAATGACTTATTTAATTGCAGGATTGTTGAGTGCATATTTATTGGCATTATACATTGAACAACTTTTATGCTAGGTTTTATGTCATGCATGTTCTTCTTTCACGGCCATATTTCTTGAACAAGGCAACTAATTAATGGCGGTCTCGTCTATTTGCCGAGGATTCAATTGAATGATTTTCGTTGTTTATTTCCGACATAGTCGTCTGGGCCGATCGTGACAGTGTGGCGGCCGCGGGCTCCCCCTGCTGGTCGCAATGGCCTATCACCCGTCGACGTCGCTTGGCCCGGCTTGTGGGCGGGACAAGATCGAAAGTGGCCAATCGGGAGCGCCTGGAAAACGACGAGAAAGCCGTGGTAGGCCGCGGGCTCCCGGGCTGCAGCAGCCTATACGATTGGCGCAGCGCGATCATCGGAGCCAATCATATCGCAAAGAGGGCGGGGGCCGGGTCAGGCCCGGGGGGCGGGTCGAGCCCGTAGCTCCAATGGCATTCACGTCAGCGGGGCGGCGGCGGGCCTGTGGGCGGGGCCGCGGCGGGAGCGCCGATTCAAGATGGCAGCCACCCGAGGATCATCCCTCTCGGCTCAGCTCGCCTTCTTGAGTCGGGCTTCGTCTCGCTGGCTCGTCGGCTGACACTCGGTCCCGTCCTCGGAACGGAACACCCGCGGGCTCGCACGCCGCTCGTCGTCGCCGCCTGCATGCCTGCACGGACGTGAGCTAACGTTTTCGCCGCCCGGGAGCCTTGAGACTCCCTGTAACGTCTGGACGGGATCGGACCGGACCGTGAGATTCCAACGGCCGGCGGACGAGCTCGGGCTCGGATGTTGTGGCGCGGCGGCGCCATCCGCCGGATGAGTGCTGCTCATCTTCCCGATTGATGGACGCTTTCGGAGCTACTCGTCCGCACTTCGTCGCATTGAGGAATGAACCAAGCCGCTCGGGTGCCAGACTTCCGGTTCTCTTTTGTGTGTGTGTGTGTGTGTGTGTGTGTGTGTGTGTGTGTGTAACGATGAGCTGATACTATACGGTGCAGGATGGACTCCTGCGTGAAGACCCGAAACCGCACGGCGCCGACGGGCGGCGAGGACAATGGGCGTCGAGCCGGCGGCTCGCCGGCGTGCTCGCGGACCAACGGCTGGAGCTGGCCTCCTCATCCCTTCCAGATGCTGGCCTGGCTCCTCTACGCCTACTTCGCCGCGGTGGGCCTGGGCGTCCTTGTGCCGCTGCTGCCCGGCCACTGGACGCCCGCCGGCTATATCGTATCCTTGACCCGGTGCGCGCGCCCCCCTCCTCCCCGCCCAACGTTGCGCGAAGAAGCTTCCGATGGGCCGCTCAGTGCACGGGCGTGATGTTTGCGTGCCACCTGTGCACTCACGTCATGGCGGTGAGCGTGGACCCGGCCGACCGCAACGTGCGAGCCAAGAGCCTGGAAGGGCCGCTTCCCGTCTTCGACCGCTCCAAGCACGCCCACGTCATCGAGAACTGCCACTGCTACCTCTGCCAGGTGGACGTGTGAGTCGCGCCGCCGTGCGTCGTTTCCGAAGATTGAGAGCCGCTTCCATCGGGCTGCGACTCGCTTCCGCTCTGATTCTTTGGCTGGTGATTTTGCCGGATCTGAATTCAGCTCAAGCCGTTCACGTGCTGAGGTTGAGATTCAAACTTGGCTTGGGTCTTCTCCCTCGATTCTGTTCGGATGAGCTTGTTTCAACTCCAACCGGTTTGGATCTCTGGGCGGAGATTCGATTCGCTTTTGATTTGCCAGCTTGCCATTTTAATTCCAATTCAAATGCTTCGCTGCAGATTTACTTGCCATTCAATTCGGAACTTGTGTCTTGTTTCAACTCCTTGCCCCCCTCGCCCTCCAGCACTTGTCAGCCATACCCATGCGCTAGTGGTGTGTGTGTGTGTGTGTGTGTGTTTCAGAGGGCCCAAGTCCAAGCACTGCAGCGCGTGTAACAAATGCGTGGCCAACTTTGATCATCACTGTCGATGGCTCAACAACTGCGTTGGAAGCAGAAACTACAAGTCAGTCGACGTCTTCCACCTCCTCTGTCGTCGTGTGTGAGCGCGAGAGAGTTTGCAGTGTTCGTCCAGTCACCGAAAACCTGGAAAAGCTTTGCAAATGGAAAATGCATTTTCCGGCTCCTTGAATTGTTCTGACAAAATAACCGAAGAACCCCCCC